AAAAAAAAAAAAAAACAAAAACAAAAAAGATTACTAAGAATGGAATGTAATTAATGTAATTGAATTTGATCAGAGTTTGACATACTATTTTTAAAATATAGTTATTCTTTTTATATAGATATAGATATAGATTTTAATACGATTGTAATTCAAATTCCTTTTTTTTTCGCTTAGTTTTATTAATGAACAATTGAACATGGTTAGTTTTATGTTGATGGTTCCTTTTTAGGATTATCAACATGAAAAGATGAAAATTATTAATGTAACGCTACGGTCAATAAACTTTTACGAACAAAAAGAACAATAAATGCAAAGATAAATTGAATAATTTATAATTTTTTTTTTATTTGTACGCTTATACTTTGTTTCTTGCGTCAATTTCTTTTGATATGTCCCTTGATACCAATGGCCGATCCAGCCTAGTTTGTTGGGGTCACAGGCCCCCAACAAATTGAAGATGCTAAAGAACAAATTGAAGATGCTAAAGAACAATTCATGCCAGATGAGGGCAGAGATTAACGCCGTCGCTTGATACATTATCATAAAGTCATAACTTACGCAACACAATTTTTTTTTTCTTTTTTTCAGTTTCGTTTCTTGGGACAATTGTTCGCAATATTCCCATTACTTCCATTGGGAAAAAATGCACCCGGCTTGCACATGTCTCCACTCCCGTACATAATGGCGAGAATCTCTTCAGGGCTTCGGTCGAAAGCCAATGAATTAACATTACCGGCAAGCACATTCCCGGATATATTTCCCTCGGCACCATAATGAGGGAGGACTAATATTCCCTCGTCTTTGTGCCCTCGTCCCCCGAGCTTGTTCCTGAGTTCCGAAATCTGTCGGGTAAAATTGGCCACCGAGTATCCATATCCTCCTACTAACGTCTGGGCTTTTTCGTACAACATTTGCCTTATAATTGCATCTTGACCCGCTTCCACCGCCAAAAGCCCTGCCACCAACTGTCAAAAACAAAAGAAAAGCATATATATACATGATCAGTCAAGGCAAAAATTTAATTTTGGTTCCTTTACTTGTTTAAAGTCCTTTTCTCGTACACGAAATTTCCCATCATCAATAATAGAGCGTTGTGTTGCAATTTGTATCACTGTTGAGATACTATCGTGAAAATGATACATTATTTTTTGAGATCAATGTCCTAAAAATGATACAAATTACAACATAACATTCTATTATTGATGAAGAAAAAGATAGTTTTCTAAAAAAGGACTTTAGACAAGTAAACGAACCAAAACTGAAAATTTTTCCATTAGTAAGTACCAAAAAATCCAACAAAGATTTATGTCTTCCAATCTATATATAGTTTTACATAATAGTTTACCTTTCTGAAAGGTTGATTGAAGAGAATGCAAGGCAGTGCCCCGACATATCCAGTTAATCCGACATAAGGGATGACGTATGATGCAATAAGATAGTTCAAGTCGTTAGCGTAAGGGTCGAATGGGGGGTCGAGTGTATTATTATTCCTTCCAAAGGATTTGTTCATAATAGTTGCGAATACCTCAGGCCGAATATCAAGCTGCGGCCTCGGGAATGTAAGATTAGGCCCTAAAAACTGTAGCGCCTGTGTTATTGCCCTATATATAGGTATACGTACGTTACATATTTTATTAAACTAGATATATAAATGATTGATGGCAAGTTAGAAGTTACGTACTTGAGATGTCCGATTTCTTGATAAGCCATTTGGGTGACGATATCTCTTACGAACGCAGTTAGGTTGGCCTTTTGGCAGCCGATGGGCTTTGGGCCTCCATTGCTGAGACCGGGAGATGCTTTGTCGAGCCCATAACCGAGAGCGCCGCACAAGAAAAATTCGGCCTCCAAGTACTCGAGATTCAAAGGGAAAGCGACTAGGTCGGATTCAATATAGGTGCAATTCGGGTAAGAAGAAGCCGTACTATTGTCATGGTGGCCGTGGCAGAGATGGAGGAGAAAGGCGGCAGTTAAGGCGGCGGCTAAAGCGGTCGAGGTCGAAAGCGTCATTTTACACTAAATAATTATCTATATATATATGTGTGTGTGTGTGAATGTAAATTTTGATTCATTCCGAGTTGTGAATGTGGTGATTGAAGAAGATGATTGTTCTTATATAAGCACCTATTGCTTTCTTTTATTTCGTTATTCTTTTTGTTGTTGATGATTTTTTTTTATTTATTTTTTTTAATAATTTTATTGTGCTTAATCATCGGCGATGTCATGTACAAAACGTAATGATTGTGAATATGTTATAATGCATTTGGTTGAATTAATTGAAGTTATGATTTTTTTTTTATTTTTTTTATTTTTTATTTTTTATTTTTTTTAATGAAAAGGGGTGAAAGATATGGTGTGATATTTGAAAGCTCTCAGCATGGCATCAAATGCATAATTTGCATTATCCTCGTGTTATCTAAGATGGACGCTTTATTCTAATTAATTTGAATTTTGCATTGCAATTTTCTTGATTTTGATAACTTTCAAACGCAACACTCATTCTTAGGCTATAACATTGACCATTGATTTAGTTATTTTCAATTATTATACTTACTAGTACAACACCCGTGTATTACACGAGTGCTTGCTAATTTTTTTTTCTTAAAATCTAAAATTAATGAGAAAAAGTAGTTTGAAAATTTAAATACTTTTTATAAGAATATATATATTATTATATAATTTATTTTGACACTTTTTATTTGTGCAACTTACTTGTGTTATATTATACTAATTTTTTTTTAACTTACAATATATAACACATTACATATAAATATATCAACTGAGAAATAATTTTATTTTTCTAATGAATTTTAATAAATATTATTATTTTTTATTATTATAAAGATAAATATAATTTATTTATTTCATATATACAATATGGATGTCAAGTCGAAGATCATCAAAAGATGATTAATTTGATATATTATATATGTAAAATCGATAAGAAATACAAAAGTTATCAACTTTTAAAATACATTTATAATTCAATAGCTTATTGAAGGAAACAAATCAAAATTCAGGGATATATTAGTCACTTAGTGTCTCACTATGTAAAATTACAAAGAATTAAAGGGTTATATTAGTAAAAGTGATATTAAAATACCTAAGTTAGCTAAATAATATTTATGGAATACCCGAACCTAGATTATTAATTATTAATATATCAATATTATTTATCCAAACCTTATTACGAAGCATGATTCTTCGCCAAATAGGATTCCGAAGCACCAGAAGCAGCCACGTAGGCTCAGCGCATTCGGAAATTATATATAGGGAGAATTACAAATTATTATTATTATTATTATTATTATTATTATTATTATTATTATTATTATTACAATATTCTAATTTAAGTTCGTTTACAAATTTTAATCATTACTCACGTTGATATAACTAGAGAAATGGCTAGCTCAACTTCACAGGTGATCATTAGGGGTGAGCAAAACTGAGCTGAAACCGAAAAATAGAACCAATGTATTCAATGCGGTTCGGTTTGGTTTTTCAAGAGTTCGGCTTTTGTTGCGATTAAAAATTTGAAAAATCGCACAAATTTCGGTGCGGTTCGATTTTTTGTCAGAAGGGTGCGGTTTTAACCGAACCGCACCAAATATGTTTTTCATTTAACAAATGTGTTAACATGCTTGTATTGTACATGTATACATGCTCATTTTGGGCCTTTTAGTTTGGGATGACTAACATTAACAATAAATAAGTAAAGTAATAAATAACAACAATCACAATTAAAATTTAAAAACATTACAATAAAATCTAATTTCTTGCCCTACTTTTTCCCTTTCAGTTTAAATTTTGGGCCTTTGGTTCATTAGATGATGATGACGTAGCTTCATTTTATTTTGGGTGTTTTTTTTTTTTTAAAAAATACGGTTTACTGAAACCACCGAACCAAACCGAACGAAAAATTTCGGTGCATTTTCGATTCGATTTTTATACCAGTTTCGGTGCGACTAGTTTGGGTAAATAAATATTTAGATTTTTGGTTTTTTGCAGTTCGTGCGGTTTTGCACTGAAACGCACCATGCTCACCTCCAGTGATCACCATTAGGTCGCACTTCATCACCGAGGTGCTGTCACCAAGGTAACTACCAAAAATTCCCAGCGTTACGACTCGACCTAGTAAGGGTGTTGATATCCTTTTCGTTAATTGCTCTATAAACCTAGAGTTATTAATTTGATCCTGATAACAGTCTAATATGATGAAGTCGACAGACCTCGAATTTAACGGAGTAAAAACCGACATCGTCTTTCAGTTGCCGGACAACAAGATAGTCAACACCCTGCTTTAACCCAGGTCATCCAGATAACCGAAGTCTTGCCAACCGAGGTCTAGCAAAGTTTACTCTCAACATACAACAAAGGTGGCAACTTATCCAAATCATCATTATTGTTGACCAGCTGACAGACAATCGCCTCTGAAAAGTAACTTTGCATTAAATGCAATCACACCTACCTCGTACGACGGGTCAACTGCCCTATAAATAGCCAATTTGACCAAGAATGGAAGGATCTTTTCAGAAAAATAAAAAATAGAAAAACTGAACAAAAATCTCAAATGTCGTAACGTCGTAATTGTTACGACCGATGTCCTGTATGACAAAATTCCGATCAATAATATCATTATTCGATATAATCGTTTACATTTACGTTGGATTAGTTGTTAATTCACGCATAACAACAAAGGGTTAGCAAGATAATGTTACAGCTCGACATCGCGACCTAAATATTTTGCTTACACCCCATTCATCACCTAATGGTATGCTAACAATGAGACTTGGAGACCTAGATGAGTCATGAGGCACACTTCGATCTAGGGCAAGCGGAAGGACCTTAAGAGCATCAGTAGTGTGAACATATTAAGATAAAAATGACGGAAAAATTTTAATTTTGGTTTGTTTACTTGTCTAAAGTTTTTTTTTTTTTTTTT